AATGGGACGGATAGAATTTCCTAGGTTTGACCTTCCATGTTTTGTCAACTCGAATGATATTTATTTCTTCAATTGAGAAATTGTGAAGAAACCACTTCTCTCTTCTCTTGCCACATAATTGCGCTCAATCCTTTTTGCCACATTTGATGTCTAATATCACCCAACATCATATATATCTTACAAAGAATTGCTCCATTGGGTAGGTAGATGAGGTATCGAGTCCTCAATTATTGGTGCAGATTAGATCTAGGCATTGAAATCGACCATAATGAGCAATTCCTCAAGTCTACCTCCCTGCTAAGCAACCTACCTGGTAACTATCTTCGCCGCCAACATACATGCCTACATCTTATCAAAGCCCCAAGGACGTAACAGCAGTATTGCATTCTGCTGCTTACCTACCTGCTACCTGGGTGTTCTTAAGCCTTCGCTTTGTCGTAAGGCTGTCTTTCCTCAGACTTCCTCGGAATACGTTCAGTTATTGGCCACCTAAGTTTTGCCATTGGAACCACCTATAACCCGAGCATCCGGCGAGGTCCCCAATAATGCCTCTGTAAAACGGGAAACCAACCACACGGGACGACCCTGTCCCTGTCGATCAATTACAAAAATATATTTAACTTAATTATAACATTCCATGCATACCTACATACATAACAAATATTCTACAAGCTTTCGCGAGCCCCTGGAGTCTTATAGTCCGACGTTGGTCCCACGATATCAAGTCGTAAACGCCTCGCCCAATCGATTCTCACCACATCCGACTGTGCGGATAGCCGAGCAAAGGGCCTCTAGATATAAGAACCCTTAAGACACCTGGAGCCTGGAGACTCCGCCGCTACCTACCTACCTAATGTTAATGGTTGTACAACATGCGAAGTCGCGAAGTACGAGTGATGTAACCACCCTCGCCAGCCTATCACATCTGACCGGTGAATATGCATCCCCTGCCTTCGCCCGTTTGGAGCATGTATCTTGGAGGGGAAAGCCTGAAGCAAGGCACACGCCGATTATGGAAATATATGCCAATCTTGTGTTTTCAGCTTTGCTGGAATTACAGAGGTCACTAGCTAGACAGGTAGCTATCTACCTAGGCTAGTACCTTACGTGACGATAATTCGAGGTACATATTCGTCTCATGTCTCTTTGACGTCATACGCAAACTCCTACCAATAGGACTTAGTATGACCATTTAGCTACCTACATTACCGACCTATATATATCCGGCCAACACAACCCAATTTATTGGTACGTTAACAGCACAAATACTGAGTTCTTCAGCTAGCCAGGCTGTCCCAACTAAGTGTAAACGCCACGCCTCAGCAGTCAGCGAATCTGACATAAGTTTACTAAAGAAAATATACGGAATCTTGGTCTAGTCTCGCCGTTATGAGTTAGAACCTAGCGGTCGACACAACTAAGTCTTTGCCAGATCTCGCTCGGGATGGTGCCATCAATCGGGCTCACAGAGAGCCAGTCTACCTAGTCACATCAGTCTGCTATTTCTGCTGCTGCTTGGTAGAGAGCTATTGGTTACAGGCATGTCAAGATGAGCTAAGCAATTGGGAGAACAGCGCTCACTTTGAACTTTAGAAACTTGGTCATGTCCCCTCTAGGTCTCACCAAAATTGGTTACACTATCTTCCTGGGCGTTTCCTATTACGTCAATAATATGTACTGCTCAGCTTTCCACCTCAATCCGCCGGGTTGGCCAACATTTCCTACCTACTTTAAACAACTTAGGGGGTATGGAAGAATTGACTGCAGGTACCATATCTCCGATCCCACCGTTCGCAGGTGAACTAAGCGGTCTAGACTTGGAAACGTAGCCCTTTGGTATAAGAACTACTATGTATGACCATAATCAATTTATTCATCGTAAGTTGCTCTTCATATGAATTTATTGGCAAGTAACGTAACCTCGCGAGCAGTTGATCAGAGAAAATGGGATGCGGAACAACTGGTTTGACTTCACTTGTCTTGTCTTTCAAAATACGTACTGCTTTCGCGGAATGGGGGCTCCGAGGACTTGTCGCGACTCCTCTTCCGCCAACGATATTAATTCTCGAATTCTAGTAAAGGATCTCCCGTGTCTGAGCATGAGACCTTCAGCCGGTATTCTAAGACTTCGGAGTGGGGGATTAATCCTCCAATAATAGAGCTTGGTATTGATTTAGGAGCTGAGAACATCAGAGCATTCTACATAGAAGATTTACCCATGCTACCCATGGCCTTCTATGCATACCACTGAAGGATTCAACATTCAACAACCCGAACTCTCTTCGATCGAATTTAGCTAACCCCGCGGAGACTGCACTCGCTACCACGGGTCGAATGAGAAACTAATCCCCATTAGTTCCAATTTCAACTAATTGGGACGCGAATTTTCGAGGCGTGCTTGGCATCAGCCTCGCGAAATTCAAGGGGTCCAGCTAGGGTTTCAATCTCAGTGCTAGGATTATATCTCTGGCGACATAAGGGTTGAGACGGTCCCTGTATCAAGGAGCTCCCTCAGCCTTGTGCTATGGCGCCAGGGACATTTGCTTTCGTTTTATGTTTCCTCTTCCCCCCTCTATTATCTGAATGATCCTCGTTCAGGATCTTCTGTTCGTTTATTTCTCATTATCCATCAGATTTATCACGGAGTTTTTGTTGTGGCCTGGTTTCGACAATTTTGATTTTGCATCGACGCTGCTTTTTTTCTTGGTCATTTGTATTATTACTTTTTAGAAAAAAGAGTTCAAGATGTTTGCAAGTTTAACTACGAAACTGGCGATGAGGAAGGTTGGGCTGTCTAGCGACGCTCTCGACTTCTCATCAAAAGCCAGTAAATCCAGCAAACCCAGCGATGGTTCTTTGCCTGGCCTCGACGATTTAGAAGAGTCAAACTCTGGCTGGCCAGCGTGGATGAGTACCAAGAAACTTCCACTTACCGCGCAAGCCTGGTTGTCACCTGCACCTCCACCAGTTCCTATTGCTGAGTGTCCTAAGCCTGGAGACCTGGCCCCTCTAGACCGAGATCGCCAACTCACCTTTGGCGGCGGAAAACCCGTAATAATTCTCTTCCTACGCTGCGTCGGATGTGCTTGTATGACTTGCCCCCACCAACATATCACAGCCCATCTTGTGTTACTAACCACATTGAGCTCACAGTCGCACAAAAGTCCTTCCTAGCCCTCCGAGACCTCGCAATCAAGAACCAAGGCAGACTCACCTGCATCGCCGTGTCACATTCCTCACGCGAAGCGACGTGGAAATGGGTCGATATACTAGGCGGTGCGTGGAACGTGGAGGTCGTCATCGACGAAGACCGCGCTATCTACGCCGCATGGGGGCTCGGCCTGTCGAACTTCTGGTACATGTTCAACCCCACCACGCAAATGCAAGGCTGGAAGGAGAAGGGCTGGCTCGGTATAAAAGTAGCGAACTCCCTCCAGCGGACGGGTAGTATCAAGCCGGATGGGACACCAAGTGGCGCTACCAGCACCGTTGTTGCGGGCGCAGGAAGCGCGCCAGATGCAAGTGAGGGTCCCTCGACGGTTATGGGTAACAAGTGGCAGCAGGCTGGCCTGTTTGCCGTGGATGGAAGGGGGACTATAATATGGGCCGCCAAGGCGCTGCGCGCGGACGACCCAATGGATTTGGATGCCGCGGCCGTATCGCTCGGCTTTTAATGCGCAGCTTGGGGTAGCTGCGGCGTGATGAATGTATGTATCATGACGTATGCTGGTCGTTGGTGAGATGAGGTTGTTCATACGATCGAGAATGGTCGTCTCTTCACTTTGATCTACGTGGAATTAATACCCCTGGCTGGACAGGCCAACAAGACAGAAATATATTCCTGATGAATGGCTGTCTTACGAAATGCATCTGACACATAAATTTAGCCTTTCGAATCTTCAAATTGATAACTCAAGGCTTCGTTTAGGTATACCAGTTCTAATAGGTAGTTTATTCTCACCTTTAAACTAGGTCAAAGAAAAGGAGGAAGAATTGGTAGTATCGCGAAGAATTTATGTCTCCCTACCTAGTATGATGATTACCACAACGCATCTCAAGCTGAGGGCAACCCGATATCGCACACGCATAGCGTATGAACAGGGAAGCAAACGATTTACAACGATATGGTAGTTAGATCAGCAACATCATCTTTCCCAAACAAGACATAGCTACTTATTAGAAGATAAAGCCAACAATAACGCAAGGAGTAGGTATTCATAGAATACGAAAATAACAGCCGAGAAGCTTGATCAAGGTGCTTAGTCGTGTCAGTGAGTCTAGTTACCGCTTAGCCTCCTAAATAGCTTTTAGACCCATATGACTCGTATAATGATGACAACACGACCAACCAAGATGTTGCGATCTATTTATAGGTAGACAACTTGTCGTATAATCCCGTAATCTGACTTCATATTCAATTCATCTCAAATGCATAGAAACGTTTATGGAATCACTAACTGGGTATTAGGTTATTCGATTGTCGGTCCATCTACTAAATATACGAGACAAATATACAGATAGGGGGAGACGGAAAAGGGAATATAAATACCTATGTAATAAAATAGGTAGTTTCAAATTCAAATACTATTAGGTAAACGAATGAAAGGAGCCGTCTTAGTAACTCCTACAAGACTCCTTCAACTAACTCCCACCATCACGATATTACCTATTCCAGGGGTGCCAAGAACATCTTTGAAAGGAATCATTGTTATATGTTGATAATGTTATTCACAAGTAAACTCGCTGTCGAACTTCTTACCACATTGTCCAGTAGCAAATAGGCAGCTATTAACACTTATACCAATAGAACGTAAGAGCCCCTTTCACGTGACAACCCTTCGCTCTTCCCCTTCCACCCAACTACAAACCCAAAGAACGGCCGGACCTTCCTTGTCTGCTCCAAACCTCTGCCGACATAAGGGTTATAGGTAGCCCGAACACGGCCGAACACGGCGATCTTCCATCATCGAAGGACACATTAGTCGCACTTCTGGCAGCAGGATCTCGTAGCTTAGGTGATCAGAGCATCGCATGAAAGTGTGAAGGTCGAGAGTTCAAGTCTCTCCGAGATCATTTCAACCCCCTTCTCCCTCTTACTTTTTTCTCGCTTCACTCTAAGAAACATCTCGCCTTGTGAGCTCATTATGCTACGAAATCATGATTCCCTTTGACGTTAATTCCGAGCATTATCCTTATATGTAGTTCCCATCAGCTTTAGCTGGTGAAGCTGTATATGTACTTATCAAGATCAGACCTGTTCTTTCAACATTGGAAATATAACCGCCACTAGGACATCTTCCAGAACTGGTATGGAAACCGGTATGAGGTGTTACGCTGTCCAGTTGGTTAGATGAATTTCTAGTAAATACTTCAGACTTGTTATAGTTATCTACATCATATGAACTAGAGAGGGTCACTCTGAAGGGCTTTGATGTTAGGTATTTGATAGGCACTTAGCTACTAGGTAGGCTAGTGTATCTGCTACATATACTCATCAACAGCATCTCCAGTCCAAACACATCATCTCTTACCGCACACCTCTCATAACCTCACCTAACAGCCTACTCTGAAGTACTACTCACTCATCAAACACGCATACACACTCACAAAATCACGATAGGGGAGAACCCATCAGCATAAGCTCGGAGAGAAACCAAAAAAACGAACAAGTACAATGCCAGGATATTTGCCAAGTTTCCTTTTGCTGCCTTTGCTGATGCCGAATCGATGTGCCAAACTCCCTGATGCGGACTGTACGTGACTCAAACGCAAAGATTTCCCCCTCCCCCATCCCCAGCCTGATGCTTTACACACACCCCGTGAAACCCGTGGATGACGACGAAAAAAAAAGAACACCTTAGGACGCAAAAAAGGATAAACGAGCAACACCCATCCCCTTTCCCCCTCTCTACGCGTGCGAAAAACACTACCTAGCCTTCTTCCATTAACCGGCCCTTTTTAATTTCAGAGAAAAGGAAAAACACCACTATGCCGCCCTTCCCCTAAAAAACACCCCTTCTCTGAAACGTGATAGTATCGGTTGAATTAATTCTCTAATTTCGACGACATCCGGCCAAATCCTAGATGCGAAAAATGTCGCAATGGGCGCCAAGAGTAAAGAGCGGTTGTCGGTTTTTGTGTTTAACGTCGCACCAATGTCAACGGAGAGGACTTGCAACTCTCCCCATTGCCGAATCGGTTGTTAATCTTGTCTTATGAGGAGAGTGAAATAGCTTCAACCTAGTATCAGGGCCTCCGAGTTGCGATAGGGTCAATGGGTCGAAAGGTGTTTCATGTGCTGATCGAGGTTGTTGCTCGGAGATTGATGTTCAAGTGTCGGTCTAGGTGATCGGGTTGAGGAAGTGAGCCCGTGGTGAATGCGTCAAGGTACAAGACCTAGGATTAGAGAGTGGAAGAGAAGAGAATAGAGATTGCAACTTCAACCGAAAACGCAGACCACCCTATGCCCTTGTATCCGTACCGTACCATTCCATTACCAAAAAATGCCATATCCTCTTTTCGTGGTTCTGTCCGGCCAAACCTTTGCAGGTATCAGTAAGAGAATAAGACCTCTCTTATATATCGTTCTCACATAGGTGCCCGTGTGTATGGTCTTGAGTAGAAAACGACGATACGCCAGGGAATAGAGAAACGGTCGAAAAAAAAGGTATCGTAGGTCGAGAAAAGGAGAATAAAACAGAAACACAATTAACTCCGAACAGAAAAATGTTTTCCACCCCTATTTTGCCAAATCTTTGTTTCCATGTCGTCAAAGGCCTGAACACCCATGCTCATGCTGGATATACGCATCCCTCGCCTAACCCAACCAACCTGAACACCGATTTTTGTGCTGATTTAATCATCATAAGATTTCTCCTGCGCCTTTCCAGCATCGGCCTTCCATTTTAAAACAAGCCCGCAATAGCTTCATCATCAATGTGTAATAGTAGGTTTCAGTTCGGGCGCATCGAGCGTAATTTTGGCTACTAACCCCAAACGCTCGCCTGAACTCCTAGGTTTGACTTATTTCCCCAGACACCTGAACGGCTGCCCCATCCGTTGTATCCGTCAGCTGCAGCGCTAGGGGGGTTAGAGGGAGCCCCGGAAGTCGATACACTCTGACTTGCATCATCACCGTTACCCGAGGCGGAAAAGCCGTGGCTTAAAGGTGACGGTAGAGGGGTAGTAGAGCGCTTGTTGAGCGCTGGGTTGGGTGCCTGCGAAGTTACTGACGGACGCGTGCCGATAGGAGCTACCGCACTTCCACCTTGAGTTGGCTTGGAGGCTCCTCCTACTCGAGGAGGGGAGCCGCCGGTAGGGGACGAGTTGCTGGTGCGACTAGCCTGCTGGCCGACAGCGCTGTCAAAAATACCAATGTTAGTCGGGGGATTCGACTGGGGACTAGCATTGCTGTTAGCACGGGATAGACCCTGAGTTTCGGTAGGTTGCGATGCGCCTTCGGGGGCATTGGGAGCACTCGATCGTCCAAAGTCGTAGGCCATGGGCGAAGGACCGCGGTGACCAGAAGTACCGGTTGGCAAACCAGGAACTCCAACTCCAGGTCGGCCGACGCTAGACTCGTCCGCAAAATTGCCGTCGCCGCCGAAGAGCGCGCTACGCTGGCGTGCAATCAAGTCGCGGCGCTCATCTTCAGACATGCTACCGGGGCTTAGTGCGCGATCAGGCTTGCTGCTGTAAGACAGATCACCAAGGACATCTGTTGAGTTGGAAAGTTAGCGTCAGTTTGTGAGATATAAGAATGAGATATAAGAATGCAGTGGTTCGGCGCATCGCCATAATTTGAAATAGTGTTTTTTACGGGAAGTCAAGAGGCATGAATAGAAACATCGCGTGCGAGATCAGGGGAGAAACATAGAACATGCTGACTCCGCCTAGTGAATTTTTTTTGTTTGTTTGAATTGCGACGCAAGTCTTGTGCTATACAGAAGAGGGAGGCCTACTTCGGTTATATTGCTGCTCTTGATGATAGTTGCGAAGATCACGCTCCCGTTGAGCTGCCATCCTCCGCTTGGCCTGCATCATCTGCTCCGCCTCGTTGGAGCCGCGCGAAGGCTGGTGTCGTTGCGCAGCATAGAAGTTCTGCAGGTTGGGACCAGGATGACCGGCGCGCGGGTCGCCAAACTCCACGGAATGTGGTCGCGGACCATGCCCAGATGCAACTCGACCATCTACATACCAATTAGCACCTGTCTTCGCAAAAGCTCCTCCGAGTTTTATTTTTTCCCCAAGCACCCTCAATACACCTTTCCCCTTTTCCTACCCATGGTTGTTGGAGTGAACTCACGTCGACCCTGCTGACCGTACATCTTCCCGCTCTTGATCAAGTTATCGATGGCTCGTTCAACCTCTGTTAATTTATGATGTCAGTATTAGAACGTGCTGTAAGGTTCAATCGGCAGGCGTAATAATCGTCTCGACCGGTGTTATGATATGGATTTCCTCGCAAGGTTTCGGTTGCGCAATTCATCTCGCAACGTCCAGCCTCTAAAGTGTTTGCTCGTCGCGGAGTTACGTACCCTCAATTTGGTAGGAGAAGGCGATCGTTTCGACCTGGGGCGGGTTCGTGGAGTTGGTACCTTATATGATCAAAGTTAATCTCAAATATTCTTCGGCAATTCTAGCTGTTATGATTGCCTATCGGTCTTACCAGATCGTGCCGGTGGCGGCGGAGGGGTCTGATGATCCCAAGTTGACTGCGATGGACCCGTACCAGGCCATTGCGATTCTCCGTAGTACTGCTGCGACATGTTGCCTGGGCAAATATTACTCGGTCTAATGCCTAAGTGTTATCGATTCCCTGGCTAGTCTCTTCACGACTGGATAAAAGTGTGAAGATAACTACTGGTCCTATAGAATATTTAGGGTCAGCCTCGTCATGACTAAATCCGATAGCGAATAGAATGTAAAGCGGGTATGGCGACGACAACAGCGGCGACAATAATATTGGATTATATAATAAATAATTGTTGTCTTGTTTAGGAAGCGTAGTTTCGAGAAATCGAAGGCATTTCTTCTATTCGGGCCTGGTATTTCTAGTATTCGTATATTTAGACATCCAAATATTTTGAATATGAACCAGATTGGATTTTTAGGTTGGCGTTCCCAATACTAAGATACCCGACTAAAAGAATATTGAGTTTCGGCTAGGGTTGCTTTGTAGTCGTGTAGTCGCTGCCATTTCAAATTCCGAGCGCGTCGACATAAAAAAAGCTTCGCCCTAAGAGTTGCCGTTGACCGTTGACCGTTGCCCGTTGTCCGCGCGAGAGGGGGCGGGAAATAAACGGCAACATAAAAAAATCAAGTGGATTAAAAAAATGTCTCTGGTTTCGCGACTTACCGAAAATCTTCAGCCCAAGTATTTTTTTAAGGCGACACCTATTTTGATCGATTTGGCGACGGAATGCTCGCCAAAGGTTCTATGAAGGAGAAAATAGGAAAATTAGAAAAAAGTGAAAAAAGAAAAGACTGCACCACACAATTGCGCAGTACACACGCGACGGGGGGTAGACAAGACGTGGGTTAGAAAAAGGGAGGCGGCAACGGTAACGGGAGATGGCTACCTTCAAGTAGGTAGTAGGTAATTAATAGGAGTAATAAGAGAAATTATCGGAGGGGACAAGTTGTAAGTTGATCAACCAGACCGGGTCAGAATGGGGGAATGGGAATGGGGGGGTTTAGGTGTACGCAGTACATACCTGTTTTATGTATGGGTATGAAATGTACTGTAGGTATTGTACATTGGACGCTACATACAATACGCTACAAATGCTACATACGCTACAAAATGTACAAATTACTTCGAATACTGCCAGGTGGGAATACAATCGATGCTAGGGGTACTCCGTTTATAAGAGGTAGTACTTGCCTAGTACGGTCAAGCTACTTTCACGCTGCCTTATTGTTCAGTTGCCAAGAAGGTATCTTTCAGGTACAAGATGTAGAAATTTTCAGTAGGGATAAGTATCGTATCGCGCGACAGGAGGAGAAAAAAAATTAATGGAAAAGGTCGCTTTCTTAGTCCCGTTGGTGTGGTCCTTTTTGAGCTCCCTGCT